TCCTTTATTATTAGAAGTAAGTAAACGTGTGGCGCATTTCCTTGCGCCATCAGAAAGAGTTGTCAGGAGTTGGGAGCTCGGAAGGGGCAAATCCGGGCGAGTATATAAAACCCCACACGTGATATACGAGGTGTGCTACTACACGTGAAAACCGTCCGCTGTGGCACCTACTTTGTCATGAGGCGCCTTCACCCTCTTCCCAACAAGCATAGTAAACTCTCCTTTCGCAATAAGGTGAGATTATTTACGACTTGCATTCGCCCAATTATGACTTACGCCAGTGTCGTATACGCACAAGCGAATCCGGCCCTCATCCACCACCTACAGACTATTCAAAACAGATTCATGCGCAATGCGACGGGTGTCCCGTGTTACCTGCGCAACGCTAACCTCCACACAGATTTACGGCTCCCCACAATAGCCCAATTCATGAAACAGGTAGCGAGAAAATACTTCTCGCCTACGACTAACGACTCTGCTCCACACCATCCCAATCCCCTCGTGGTGGCTGCTTCCAACTACGTCCCCCTCAGGGACAACCACCACCGCGTTCGTAAGACTCGTCGACCAAGGGAAGTCTTCAATGACCCTGTCACTATCGCCACTATAAAGGCCAACCACATCGCTAATCAGTCCACCTCCACACACACAACCGTCCTCGCCGGTGAAGTTGTAGAACCCCCCCATTTTAACACGTACACTAGTAGATGAACTCCTAAAGCACGCCGTTCTGGCGGAATCCCCAATAGCGCCCTGAGCCGAGCTTCGTGCCCATTTAAGCGCCAATAGGCCCGCTACTTAGTTTGTAGTTTAGCTTATTTTTAATGGGTTAAGAGCCTTTATCTGGCCCTTTTATCCAGTGGCGCAGTCAAGGCCATCGGCGGCCAACTACAAAGTGTCTATGTCAAAAAACAAAAATACGAGGAGTCGATCTCATGACACGACTCAAGACAGAGCTCCTGCTCCCAGCGAAAGTAATTTAGTTACTTGTTTGTGCACTGTAACTCTGCCATTCGGCACGTAGCTGTATTCCTATAGCGTACACAATTTTATAAAAAAAATTAAAGAAATTTAAATTTAACAAAAATTTTGTAAATAAAATTGTATTAATTTTAAGGTGAACATTGATTTCATTTGAATTAAATGATTCCTCCTGACAATGCGTCCTCTTACCGCCCACGATAATATACAGGGTGAAAATTTGTAATGCCACCTGGAGGGAAAGTACTCTAAATACTGGAGATAGAAATATTTACTTAAAGGAAACATTCCTTTATTTTTCAAAAGAAATAAAAGTGCATTCATAGATTTTCGAAAATTTCTAGCAACACGCGGGTATCGAACCTGCTTTAATCTGAAAAAAATGCACCCTGTGCTTTTATTGCATCGATCGATAGGGTTAATTATAAGAATAAAATCTCTCTCACAAAATTGGTTAGTTAAATGAAAAAAACCATGAAACCTTAACGTATTTTAATAAAACGAAAAAATGGTAATCTAAGTTAGATTCTCGAAATGAGCTCCATTTTCTTGGATACACAAATTTAATCTTTTAACGAATTCATTTTGAGTAACTTTTAATAACGTGTTGTGATGAATTGTATTACAAATCGTATTCTGAACTTCAGCCTTCAACTCGTTTACACTCGCATAGGATTTAAGGTAAATTTGATTTTTAACTATCCCCACAAAAAAATCTAAAGGGGTGAGATCTGGTGATCTCGCAGGCCATCTGATTGTGCCGTTTGTACTAATCCACGTATTAAAATGGTTACTAATGTAGGCAGTAGTGACTCTGCTGTTACGGGCTGGAAATCTTGCTGCAGAATTATTCGATTTCGCTCTTCCTCGGATAAATTTAAATCATTTCTTAAGAGATCCAATATTTCCAGGTACTTGACAGTGTTCAAATGACCTTCGTACACGTGGACTTACACAACCATATTTCTTATAATTCCGCACCAAAACGTTGTAAGAGAATCTTACTTGATTTTTATTATTTTTTTTGATATTTATTTATTTACCTTAAATCCTATGCAAGTGTAAACGAGTTGAAGGCTGAGGTTCAGAATACGATTTGTAATACAATTCATCACAACATGTTAATAAAAGTTACTCAAAATGAATTCGTTAAAAGATTAAATTTGTGTATCCAAGAAAATGGAGCTCATTTCGAGCAACTAATTAGTTAGATTACCATTTTTTTCATTTTATTAACCAATTTTTGTGAGAGAGATTTTATTCTTATAATTAACCCTATCGATCGATGCAATAAAAGTGCAGGGTGCATTTTTTTTCAGATTAAAGCGGGTTCGATTCCCGCGTGTTGCTAGAAATTTTCGAAAATCTATGAATGCAGTTTTATTTCTTTTAAAAAATAAAAGTATGTTTCCTTTAAGTAAAAAAAATTATAACATATTTGCTCGTAAAGTGGCTGAAATCACACCAATTTCAATATCGTAATGTATTTCATTACGCACTTGTGCGTTATTGTAATGTAAAACGCATAAGTGCGTTATTGTAATGTAAAACGCACGAGTTTTTTTTTTTAATAAAGTAACATGCACGGTTTTTTAAGATGCTCCGTAATATTTTTTTCTTTTTTTATTAAGGCATTGGCAAAGCCATCAGCCTAAACATGAAGTTTAATTATGTTTCTGTAAATATGGCCGCCACAAAGAGGATAGGCAATTTGAGGCGGCGTGCTTGGATTGACTCGGGATTCCTTAAAACGGGCCGATACGGGTATTTTAGTTCGAGATTCGTATAATTTAGCGTTTTAATCTTCGATTAAGGCACAATAGCACTATCCTATTCCACTTTAAACTAGATTGCACAAAATAATTGAAAGTCAAAATAAAAACGACACTTTTCCCTCCAAAAGGTCCAGAGCGAATCTTTAAGATGCTCCGTCTAAAAATGAACGATACTTTTTTAAATCTTTGCAAAGAGTTTTTATGTTAGAAAAGTGGTCAATATTTTATGAATAAAATTAACTTTGGGAGATAAAATATAGTAAATAAACATTTAATTCTTTCATTTCATTAACTTTGACAATAAATTACAACCATTTATTTGTTACAAAAACACAAAAATATTAATTTACTTTATTAGTAATACTGGCTATTTTTATACCTTTGCCTAAAAAAAAAACGTTGATGCGCGCGCATGGCTAATTTGTGGACAAGTAAAAATTACTTCGCGCGCTTTTTCTTTTCGCTGTATTGTTTTTATTTGAAAATGTCGTCAAGTAGTGATGAATTTATTAATTTGACACCGCCACAAGTCTTAAACGCAGCGAAAATGGCTACTCTAAGCCTCTTACCTGAAAAATCGACCGATAGATACTTACAAGCGTATCAAAATATCATCATATGGAAAACAAGCAAAGATGCAAATTCATTTTCAGAAAATGTGTTTTTAGCCTATTTCATGGAACTTTCTCAAAAATATAAGTCAAGCTCATTGTGGTGCTACTATTCAATGCTAAAAAGCACTATGAAAACAAACCATGGTATTGATATCAAGTCATACTCCAACTTGATAGCATTTCTAAAAAGACGCTCAGATGGCCATGTAAGTAAAAAGTCGAAAGTATTTTCGGCTGACAATATCAAGAAGTTCCTAAAAGAAGCTCCGGATTGGCGATATTTGGCGATATTATTAAGGTCAGTTGAAACTAAATTATTGTTATTAATTTCTTTCACTTTCGTATTTCTTTACAATATAGGTGTTTATACGTTCTTTTTATCTCTTTTCAGGTTGTATTAATATTCGGTATAAATGGTGCATGTAGACGTCAAGAGTCGGCAAACATAACAACTAATGACGTCGAGAACCATGGGCGGGTTCTTCTAGTCCAGGTCAAAAACACAAAAAATTAAATTCCAAGGTCGTTCACAATACAGGGGCCTTTTTACGACGTAGTGAAGAAATACGAAGCACTTCGTTCAACAAAAGCTAATTCCAACAGATTTTTTCAAAATTACCAAAATGGAAAATGCACTAACCAACCCATTGCCATTAATAAATTGGGAGCAATGCCGAAAGAAATTGCCACTTTCTTAAATTTGCCTCAAGCACTTGAATACACAGGGCACAGTTTCAGAAGGTCCTCGGCTACATTGCTCGCCGATTCAGGTGCGGACTTATTGACACTAAAACGCCACGGAGGATGGCGGTCAAGAAATGTACCCGAAGGATACATAGAAGACTCGATAAGAAATAAAGAAGAAATTAGCTCTCGCATTACAAGGAACATAAATTTGGAGTCAAGTGTTGACTTTCAACCATCTACGAGCACACACGCGTACATTCCACCATCGTCGTCGCAGCCGCAACCGCCTCCACCGCCGCCACCGACTGCAGAACTCTGTGGTCTCGTTTCTCCTACTTTCACTCAAGAGAGTGAGAGAGAGACTGGGGAGATTGTAAGTAATAATAATAACTTCACAACATTAAAAATGCCAACTGGGAACGTAACAATAACTTTTAAAAATTGTTCAAATTTCTATAACTGTTTTAACAAGTAATTAAAGATTTATTCGTTTAAGAAAGTCACAGTCTTATTTATTTCCTCGCAAATATGTTATAAAACGTCGTATGACATACGTGCGCTGTGAAAATTACCGCACTTATATCATAATGTACTAATATCTCCAGTATTTAGAGTACTTTCCCTCCAGGTGGCATTAAAAATTTCCATCCTGTATATACATGATTCATTAACGCATTTCATTTTCTATGATAAGCCTACATCTATGAATGAATTCATGTGCAGACTTTAAAACCAGTAGCCTATATTATTACTATTTAAATGTAATACTCGGTATTCGTTGTCTACAGCATAGTTTAATTTCTATCTGTATTAATTAATATTGTAACCATAATTTACTGCAAACATTAAAATTTATTTTGAATAAAGCAGACAGAAGTAGAAATAGCAAAGTAGACAAAAGTTGCATATACTTATATACTTCATTGAGATAAAACACTCTCACCTTCCGTTTAGCTCTGACGACCTGCATCTGATGATGAGTGCACTCGCCGATGGCGCGCCCGCGTAAAGCTGCACTCATCCGCACGTACGCCCACACCATCACTAACATCGGTACCACGTACGTCACTCCCAGAAATATTATGTTGTAGCTGAATACAAAAAGGGAGAGTATTAGAAAATTCTCATAATAATGTCACAAAACGTATTATCAGCGGTCGTCACTAGTCAGAGGAATAACAAAGAAACTATATTATAAAAACCCAATTTACATTACCGTGGAACAACGGAATGCAACTGAATTTCAATTCATTAAATTCAAATACTTTATTTCGCACTATTCATTCATATTGGTTAGTAAAACAAAGAAAAACTTACACACTAATATTAGTAATTACTATGATATGATTGGTATTAATTATATGTACTGGGGTTTAGGGTACACATGAAGTTTGTCTAAGTGATCTAGGAATGAATCCTGGACTCTGCCAGCAATGATATTCCTGATGCCGTTACCATTGTCACGCATTCAGCGCATCAAGGATGCCGCTCTCTCTCATGATAAGATAATAATGTTAACTTGACATTTCATAACTGTGAAAGTGTATTAACGTTAATCATCTGTATCATATATTACGCTCCTATGTAGCGGGTTTTTAATGGACTAACACCCGTATCGTCCTTGCAGTGCAGAACTAATATCATGCATAATATTAATATCTAGTTTTGACCTTGTGAAAATTTAAATCAGAAAACTGTGGCTGAAAGCAGAGTAAGGTAAAGTAAATGATAACTCTGCTTTTTGTGCGCACTTTATGAACATAAAGGGATGTTTGCAAAAAAACGCATTTCAGTGTAAACATTAAATTAATTTACTCTAAGTGTCATATTCTAGAACTCTACTCCAATGCTCAAGTCAGGATTTGAGTATGATTCAAAGCACTAGAAATCATACTCAAGTCTGCTCAAATCCTGACTTGAGCATTGAGTAGAGTTCTGGAATACGACCCTAAGAAGCAGTCGGTGCATAATGAGGTTTCTTAATCGTTGCATAAGTCGAGCACCGTGTTTAGGTAAGTAATCAATACTAGATTAAGTAATGATTGTGTGAAATACTTTTTCTACGATTAAATTAAAATAATTAAACACAACCAATACTTAATATATATTTTGTTAACAATACACACAACAAACACAAACGAAAGCCAAGCAAACGCTACTAAATAAAAAATAACTAAGGAGATTGAGTAGAAATGTAGTAGAAGTGAATATTTTAACCAATTAGGAGGCAGTAGAGCGTTCGAGTGGTGTCATATTTAATGTATTAATTAGCAAAACTAAGACGTTCTTTTTTGAATCTCATTATATTCAGTTACAGAATTATAAAATTTTTCAGTTCAGTAGCGAGTACAATAGAATAGACAATAAAATTTTGTTTCAAAACTAAAAAGAACGCCTTTGTGGCATGTTTATTAAATTATAATTCACGGATTAAAATACAGGAGTAGAAAAACACTGACTTTTGAAACGGGATACTTGTTCTAACTCACCAATAGTCTGTCCGTGAAGTAGGGTAGCTGCCATCCGGCCATTTTATGAAACAAATTTCACGCTCGCCGTTGATGTACCTTCAACAACAACAACCAACATTACACCGGACGAAATTGAATCAGTTTGAACCACAGAAGCGGAAATATGCTATTATTATATAAAGCTTTTTATTATTTTCTTGAATTAAATAAAGTAGCATTAACGCTACGTCGGCTAAATTTAAAAACGTTTTTGGATTCCTTTTTTTACTCTTTAAACGCAGTATCGAGCAATTAAAACTTAAAGTAGGTACCTATAACTTGTATACTAAATGAAAGTATGAAAAAAAAATTTTTATTAAATTAGACCAACTTCTGTTATCGCGATTTTTTTCGTCTCATAATTGTTTGTGTGTAATAGTAATTGTATGTGTAAATGATTTTTACACGAAACTGAGTCGAACAGCACTAAAAAAAAATTGATCAATTTTATTCATTTCTATAGACACACTTGACCAAATAATTGACTATGCCATTATATTGTTATCCAATTAAAAGTTTATTACTTTATTTATAGCAATTTTATTATCTGTTAACTTATTGTTCCCTCTTCCTCTCTCTCCTCTCTCTAAGAATATCATATTAAATCTATGGGCGCGTTTAATGTTAAGATTTTGGATACTTCTAGTTTTATTTAAAAAGAGTTTTTGATGTCGATTTACTCATTAGGTGACTACTTTCGATATCAGTTTAAAGTTTTTTGATATCTCTTATATTTATGTAATAATCGCCTGGACACACTTAACGATTACACCCTGTATACCCTAAGGCTCAACTCACACTGGCGCAGAGTCGAAGCGTCGCGACGCGTCATTTTTTTCGCCTATAGCATATTCATCTCTATTTTCCTATTATTAGGGTACAGATTTGTGTTATGCGAATATGGAATCGAGCGTCGACCCACGTCGCCGCGCGTTACTTGGGCGCAGTGAGGCGTCAGACAGCGACCACACTATGATCCCGGCGCACTAATGCAAGCGTCGACGCGCGTCGCCAGGCGGTGTAGTTGAAAAACAGAACACGACGCGACGCTTCGACTCTGCGCCAGTGTGAGTTGAGCCTAAAGCGATAAAACTATGTAAAAAGGAACAATCATAACCAAGTTTCTAATGAACAAATATCATAAATAAATTATCATTGCCCTTTGCATACATATATCTTACTTTATAATTATAGCTGAAATTCATTTTGTAAGATTAGTACTTCTAAGAGTAACCAATTTTTGTATTTACTCAAAAGTTCACATTAATAGAGGTACGAGTACTCTGTCTATAGCTGATTTAAAATCCTATAGGTATTACGTGACTGAATCGTAAATTTTTATGTTATTACAGACATTACGTTTACTAACGAGGCATGAATTCTAGAGTGTACAATCAATAAACAATAAACAAACAATAACGCACACACTCATAGCCCCGCACTAGGGAAATCCTATATCGCGAGTGCAATGGACACACATAGACAACCACAAATTATATCCAAACTTAAGAGAGAAATAAATGTAGGCCGTACAAATATTTCTCCCGACTCAGGTACCGAACTCGAGATCTCTCCGTGATAGGCCAGCCTAACCGTACGGCCACGGCAGCAATTTATAATTGATGATTACATGGAAAAATAAAATTTTACAGACAGCAAAAGAATGTATAATAAAACTCGGTTATTGAAATATTAGAAATTAAGAATAATGTGCTAGACAGCTACCAATTACCAGGTCTCAAACTGGAGAATTACTAGAACTCGAGTGCCAAAGTAGTGCCAAGTAAATTTTGTCTGCTTTGTTCCTTTGTAATCATCACCAAACCAGACAGAATGTACTTGACGAGGTCGTATAATAAATAACAAATTACACATTGCTATATTAACGTATGAAGTCAAAGTCAAAGATTATTTAATTCGTAGGTAAAATAAATTTATACTTGAAAACGTCACATTTAAGCTACTGCTCGTTCACTACGCTGACCTCCCTAAGAAGAACGAGCAAGAAACTCTAGGGATTGCTCTTTTCAAATAAAC